GGGTGAATGTGAACACTTAATGTGAGACACTCGGATCTGAGCACAAACACCTCGATCCCAGCTAGAAAAAATGGGGACTCCTCTAACTACCATCACTACCGAGAAAAACCCCAGGGAAATTAATTTGGATAAAATGGCCCATACCCTTGATCTGAGAACATTACGGAAGTGAGGGAAATAACAGCAGTTAACAGGCAGCCAATTTTCTGTCCTCAGTAGTAGTCAAAAATCTTATGAGGAACTGTTTCTGCAAAACAGAAGTCCCTCTAAGCAGTAGGATCTCCCAGTTACACTTGCACTCGGGTAGATTGTTCACCATACGCTGGCAAAAATCTCCTGCTAATCACCCAACGCAGGCCACAAAGCCACCGGATCCTCGTGTTAATTCCACGTTACATGAGAGGCACCACTTCCTCGGCCTAGATATTCTCCAGTGCCTCTGAGCTATTAAGATAACAAAAAGAAACAAACTTCAGCTCTAAGCGGAGACACGAGGAAATCTGATTAGCACAACATCCCTTCTCCCCCATGTTGGTGCTTCGCCACAGTAGAAAATTGTCCAGTGACCCTTCTGTACCTACAATCAAGTCAAATTTGATCTTTCTAGTCAGGCAGATGAATCCCTGCTATTCTAAACGGCAGCAGCATCTTGGCTCGTATCATGGGTAACTGACCATTCGCTCCTAATCAAAGGAAATTTGCTGTGTGCTCTGGAGACAGCTCCATTAAATGAAGCACATGAGCAGTGGATCTGTCCATTTATTTATTTTTAAAACCGCGATCCGGGGCAGAGGGGAGGGTATCGCTCCTGTTGCAGAGACAGCTTGGCTAGGAGCTCATTTGCTGCAGGGAGGATGCTGCTTGGGTATTAGCAGCTGGCATCTGTGATGGCAAGGCTAGGGTATAGAGATAAGCCAAAGTCAACTGTGCTGAAATACAGCCAGATTCTTTTTTATTCCACAGGAAAAGTGGCAAACCTGTGGCCACTCGCTAATTCCAAACAATATTTACACAGTGACCTTGACACTTCCCCCTCTTGGAAACAAAAATTTTAATTGTTTTGCTCCTCTAACGCAGAATAAATAACTCCTAGTAATTTTCTATTGGTGTGCAAGTAAACCAAGTAGTTATATTTTTCTGCTACCGAGGCTGCCAAATAATTCTAGCTCAACATCTCCAAATCATTTAGGTCCTGGCATTTTGCCAAAGTTGGTTCGCTTTTTTTTGCATGTCTGTGTGTGCCAGTACAGCTGTTCACAGGGTGAGAGCCAAGAGGGATGGCCTGAACAGGGCGCTGGAAATCAGGAACCTGCAGGAACTCACTTCTGAGCGCTTCTGCTGGGGTCTCAAGCAGGTTGTTCAACTTTTCTTCCCATTGAATTGGCAAAAAGTTAGCGCTAGGATCCACTCACAAAGCGCTGGCAGGTATCACCTGTATTAGGTACCCTGAGACAGAGATCGTTTAAATGTCACAAGGCTACGCTCAGGCACAACCTGCCACGAGCTAAACAGACAGAATTGTCCACCTAACCCAGGAAACACAAAGCCGACGTCACAGGATACAAGAAGGGTCACACGAGGTGCTTGTTGCCCGGCTTCTCCATGCCTTCCACCGATGGACACACAGGCATGTGCCCTGCGAAGCAGCAGAAACCTGTTGGACTACAGGGAAGTACGGAAATAGATGCGGTAGCTGTTATCACACCTACCTGGTGAGAGCGACAACTCTGGCCCTGATGAGCTTCCACGCAGCTAGTGCTCCCCTCTTGCTTTCATCAGTCAAAATACAACGCCATGTGCGGAAAAGCACTTCTCCTACAAGCCTGTACTGTCTCTCCAACTTGGTCTGCTTGCAGCTAGTCTGAAAGGGGGCAACTGTCTTTGCAGCCATTTGAATTACTGCAAAAACAGCGTAAAAACCCAAAAAACTCATTAGACTACCTTTAGCTAAATATAGGGCAGGGAAAAGAGACCTAGACAAGAAAAGTGACAGGGACTCACCTTCTGCAGCACTAGCAAAAGAACCTACTGCAGGAAAGTCTTCACCTTATGCTTTGAAAAAACGCTCAAGCTGTGGAGAGACTTGATGGAAGCAACCTGCTGCTGTAACACCATCTTCCCCAGTGGAATTGCGCCCACTGTCATAGAAGATATGCCCACATAAGAAGTTCCACTAATTCACCTCAAACTGTTTTTAAACTCAAACAGGCTTCCCACAGGTTCAATGCAAAGCTGAGTTTAAAACTGCCTCCGATTGCCTCAAGCTAAACCACTCCAATCAAAATAAAGGCGTTCTTGCAGAAGAGGACTGCACCTGCTTACGAATAGTTTTAGTAAACCAGTGCAATTTGTTTGAGTTAAAGGAGAACACTACTGATGAAGAACTAATATGAACAGCTAGGAAAGAGGAACAGAGAAAAATCCCCACAGAATAACCTCAAGAAATAGAGGTTCTGCAGAACTGGCCAAAGCGCAGA